TCCTAATAAACGACAAATACAAATGCAAAAACCACCACCACCACCACCACAACAACAACAACAACAACAGCAATTACTTGTTAAACATGAACCAATGTCATTTGATGAACAACAAATTAAAACTGAAGCACATGATGATTCATTAAATGAATCAATTAATACAATTAAAACTCGTTCTGATCCATATCAATGTAAGTAGAATGTTTTTTTATTTAAATATTTCATTGTCTTAATAATAGAAAATTCTTCAATGTTTTTCTTTACAAGAAAACTATCAATGAATATATTATTTTGAACGAGCAATATGCCTCTTAATAAAGAATATATTTGAAATTTTTAGCGGATGCATTACCTTAGAAGTGTAGACCAAAGAGGCTGACTTAGTCTTGAGCGTTTGAGTTAAAGCAGAATTATGAGTTCTATAACTCATAAAGAAAAGGAGTTTTATGATTTTTCACGTGACACAATTTTTTGTTGAAAAAACCAAATCATTCTTGACTTTTCTATTATTCATCAAATAAACATTGTCTCGGTTGCAAAACCTGAAGAAGTTCCCTGATGAGATATTATCTATGCAATCGATTCCTTATGAATAAAAATGTTGACGAGTCTTCTATCACCAAGACAAAAAATTTCATCATCGAATTATTCATAAGCCCAACCTTATATAATAATATTGATTTAATTCAATCTAAAAATTTTCTAAATTTTAGCTGTACCACCTCATGTTCTCGAACAAATTGATGAAGTCATAAACGATGTTATTTCCGGTGCCGGTATGATTCCTCAAGAAGTATCTTCTAACACTCATCCTTCATCAACACCTGTTCAGATAGTTCCATTAACTCAACCTAAAATTCAACCCCAACATATGATTACAACTCATCATCCATATATTCAACAACAACAACAAATACATGAATGGTCTAATTATCAACAACAACCAACATTAAATATAGCTGCTATGCGTGGTCCACCATCATATACACATTATCATTCTCAACAACAACAACATCATCATGATCTTTTACCAGCAACAACAAATGTTATTAATACAGCTGGTGTACAACATCCTGAACAACAACAAATAGTTGCTGAACGTATATCATCTATTTTAGCATCATCACCACATGAACAACAACAAACAACAATATCACAAACACCTATACAAATAAAACGTGCTTGGCCAATGAATCAACATCAACAAAGTGGTGATAATCATTTTCTTGGTAGGTTTAAAAAAAATTAAAACAATTTTCTTTTTCCTCGATTCCATTAAATAATAACAGATCTATTTCATCTCAACAACAACAACAAATACATGAATGGTCTAATTATCAACAACAAC